GGTGAACAGAGACAGGCAGGTGAACAGACAGACAGGTGAACAGACAGACAGGTGCACAGACAGACAGGTAAACAGAGACAGACAGGTGAACAGACAAACAGATAAACAGAGACAGACAGGTGAACAGACAAACAGATAAAAAGAGACAGACAGGTGAACAGACAGACAGGTGAACAGACAGACAGGTGCACAGACAGACAGGTAAACAGAGACAGACAGGTGAACAGACAGACAGGTGAACAGACAGACAGGTGAACAGACAGACAGGTAAACAGAGACAGACAGGTGAACAGACAAACAGATAAAAAGAGACAGACAGGTGAACAGAGACAGACAGGTGAACAGAGACAGACAGGTGAACAGACAGACAGGTGAACAGACAGACAGGTGAGGACTCACAGCAGTGCGACAGGTGAACAGGGCAGGTGGAGCAGCACAGGAACCAGAGGACTGAAGGTATTCCTGCCAGTTGAACTCTGCGTCAGACAGACCTGCAGACAGACACACAGGTGGGTGTGGTGACCTGTATCAGGTGGGTCACCTGTACAGTTGTTAGCTTCCTCTACTCACCTTTAGGTGGGTGGAGCTTGTGGTTGTGATCTTTACACCAGCCCACAGGATGAATATGTGCTGAGTCAGCATTTACCCAGAAGTCATAGCACTCTGAGTAACCGTCGATGTGGAGACGCAGTCGATGGCCAATCACCTGTCAGACAGGAAGAAAGGGCGGGCTCTTCTAATTAAACCAGAAGTTTACATAATCTCTATAAAAAGACACGTGTGCTTTTTTCACTGACGTAAAACCAGAAAAAACTTTTCTTAAAAAAAATTAAGGAAATTTGTTATTACTTCCTTCCAAGTCAAAAGTTTAAATACACCAAGATTACTTTCCTTTTCATCAATATGGGACGTTTGATCTTCTGATGGATTATTGATAATATCTGAGTTCACTAGAGACACACCTGTGGATGTAATTTAAAGAAACACCTGAAACACACTGCTTCCTTGTGTGACACTGGGAGAGCTCAAAGAAACCAGGAGGAGAGCTGTGGACCAGCACAGGAGGGGCTGGTGCTCGTCACTACATACATGACATCATGAGGAAACACTGAACAACATCTCAACACATCACAGGAAGTTCAAGCTTGACTCTTCCAAACGCACAATGAGCTGAAGCCAAACTACCAGACTGGTTACAAAGTGCTTGAAGGAGAACAAAGTGAATGTGACATCACAAAGACCTGATGTCAATCATGGACCAACTGTGACATCACAAAGACCTGATGTCAATCATGGACCAACTGAAAAGACTTGTGTGATCAAGTCTGCCTACAAACATGACTCAGGTCCTGCAGTTCTGTCAGGAGGAATGGACCAGAACTCCTGCAGCTATGGTGAGGAGCTCCAAACGTTTGACCCGAGTCCTACAGTTTAAGATCAGTGCCTCCAAATATTCATGAAGTGTGTTTAAACTTGGACTTTTAAATATTCTCTGTGCTTATTCCAGCATTGAGCAAACAGAAGACATGTTGGTTAAAACAGAACTTTACTCTGATTTCACATCACATGTGTGTGTGTGTGTGTGTGTGTGTGTGTGTGTGT